GATAATATTATTTCTCGTCCCCGAGACACTGCAATGAACCACGAGCGTTTTTGACTCGATGTGGTCAAGGGGACATACACCTATTATGGTACTCTATCGGATGTGTAAGTACCTACCAACTTCTAAACGATCGCTATCTATAATAAATAGGTATTCGTAAGTGGCATATATTAGCATAATTTTTAAAAGGACCAAAGAGGGGATCTAAGAGACAGAGCCAAGGGGGTAAAAAAAGGGATAGCAGTCAATTAGAAAATCAAAGAAATCACCTTCACAATACATCAACTAGATAGAATTACCATTCAGAAGAGATGCTACATTTAATACTTCGGAGCAAGATTTCTGGTTGAAAAGTTGTTCATAGACAAAAATAAAAAAACACCGCACATAGTAAAACCATTCGATTCTTCGCTAATCTCCGGCTTTAAAAAATATACTGTTTGGCCAATAAAAACGTCAGTTTTTCAATACCATACGATAAATTACACAGGAAAACACGGCGATGTATAGTGAGATCGCAAATCGAAAATATATTTTACGTGCGCACGTGTATGTAATACCGTAAGTAGTAAGTATCGGAAAAATTGTACATAGTCGACGTAAGTATTGTGCTTTACGATGTGCGACATCTGTCTGTAATCTCTCTGAACTATTAGGTGGGTAGCTATTAAAAAAAAATAAACAAAACAAACAGTAATAATAATAAAATAACCGCGTCGGTTTTGTGCGTGTAATTTATGTGCGATATATGATGTATTCGCGGAGTATTGAGTTATGGGCATTTCCGTTATGTTCCTGGCTCACAGATCTCTTCAACATGTCGCAGCTCGCATATATTTATGGTTATGCATTTCGTACATCATATTTTAATATAAAGGGGGTTTCACGGGGTTCTTTCTGACAAATGCAATCGTTTTTGTTCAATACAGAGTGGCCCACGAAGATAATAATATACCCATTGTAACATCTCCGGAAATAATAAAAATAATCAAATTCTGTTGTTTTATTTTTTTAAAGTATTACTCACAAGGATACGGACCACACATTTTTTTTTTTTTTATTTTAGTAAACAAGTTTAAAAATAACTATATTTCATTGCTTTCGAAACATTTCAAGATATCCATTTTATAGAATTTATTCTTCTGAAAATGTTGACATTTCAACTTTTTATTTCCATTAAATTCGTGATTTTTTATAATTTTTTAAAGTTTATAAAAAATAACGTACAGGCTATATTAACAATGATGACAATAATGTTATATTAATTATTATTCCAATTAAATATAATTATACAATAAGCTATAATCGCAATTAGCTATTATTAATCGTTGCGAACGTATATATTCATTCAATTTCCGCTTTAATTTCCCTTCAACAATGGCCTACACCGTGCGAAGTATGTCTGTTTGTTTATTTTTCTGAACGTTAAAAAATTTATAATTTAGAACTGCACTTTTTGTGCACACGATCGCACGTTACCGCGAGCTCGGAGAAAGACCACAGGCGTCTACAGGAGTTTGCCCACACCCCCTCGATTGTCGGGCTCATATTAAAAACTGAAAGCCATTGCACGAACAGAAATGTCGCCGTTTACAGTAAACTTACCGCCCATGGACGAATCAGACATAATATATACGTACAGGAAAAGAGGAGTCGGACGAATGGAATGAAACAAGCGAAATGTCAAAAGTAAAATTTGCGGACTCGAGTCGCGCGATTCCGTTTCCCCGAAAAAAAAAAAAATCACGAAAGCTCAACGGTACACAGTGACGGCAATGAGTTATTATAATAATGCAAAGCAAATCAACGGCGAAGTTGGGACACGCCCCCTCAGTCGCCTATTATTCATTCGGCCGGGCAAATAATTCGCTTTGTCCCGCGTGTATACGGAGTGGCCAAAACGGCAGCATTATTGTACGCGACGAAGCGTATATATACATATATATATATATATATACCTGCGGCATGGCGCTCGGGTCCGAGATTTGTGCGAGGGATGGCGCGCCGGACGGACGGACGGACGGACGGCCGGCGAGTAGTGACTGACGGAAAGTTACGGGGACCATGGAGTGGTAATCGTTTAGGAGGGTCATCCATCATCGCGGTGCGACTGCAGTGTCCGGGGAACGGTTATTAATGGACGACGCGCGCGGCGGGTACGGCGGCGGTTTCCGGGGTGTTGTCCGTTTAGTTAAAAGCCGCCGCGCGGTTCCTGACTTGGCTAACTTTACCCCGTCCACCGCCGTCGCGGCCGCCTTTATACCTCCGTCGTCGCGCGCGCCGGGAGTTGACGGCCGCTCGTTTCTGCTGCACCTCCGCCGCGCCGTCCCGCAACGATCTCAGCGACGCGAATGGGCCGCGGCGGGCGGTTAGGGGGGTTTTCTTCTCTTTTCGATACGGCAATTTCGGCGATTTCAGCGGACGGCAGTGTTTCGCCGTGCTTTTGAATTCATAACAATGTTACAGACGGAGCCGCGGGGAATGTCGCGGCGGGGGGGGGGGGGACCGGCGGCGACGACCTTTAGTTTAGGAGAGAAAAACAAATGGGGGGGGGGGGAAAGAATGGAACATGTAATACTTTTACTGTTTTTTTTTTTTTTTAATTTTTATATATAATTTCATCATAATTATTAATTAGTCGTTTAGAGTTATGGATTATAGGTTACGTTATTAATTTCTAAACGTACCTAAATTAAATATTTTTGATTTAACTACGTAATATTTTGACGTTTTATTTATTTTAACAAAATTATTACTATCTGCTTATTGTATTTTATATACTAAGTGTCAACTATCACCGTGTTCTACGGATTTTTATACTTTTGTCAAAATTCAATTGAAAAAAAAAAAAAAATTCAACCAGATTTAGGAAACATATATTAGAGACAAATTAAAATTTTATTTTTACTCCTTATCATTTAAAAAAAATAATTTTATTTGTTCACTTTTCAAAATTTTCGAAATAGCAATTTTTTAAAAAGATATTAAAAACATTTTAATATAGTCTATAGAATAGGTATAATATGTTCACACTTCTTCTGTATAAATTAAAACGGTTATTACTAAGTAACACTAGCTATTCATAGAAAAATTTTACATATGTTAGATTAAAATGTTTAAAATAATGTCCATTACAAATTGGCTATTTTGAAAATGATGAAAAATGATAATTAAAAAGTTATTTTTTTAAAGGGTTATCTCGAAAATTTAATTTTTCTCAAAACAGATGTCTCCTTGTAAGAAATTTGGATTGACAAAAAAATTAAAAATTAACAGAGATATAAAAATCCATAGAATACGGTGCGACACCCTGTACGCAGTTGTATAGTGTGTGACAGGACGGACTGGGAATAAAAATCGACACTGGGGAGATGGAAAATTCGGTCCCAAATGTTGAATATCAATAAGGCTGTAGTAATATGATCCAAAACTAGTTTTTTTTTTTTAAACTTTTTATTATTTAGCGTTCTTTTAAGTTCCAGTTCATCCGTTCTCGTTAAAATTATTATTAAAAAAACTAATATACATTATATTATATGCAGAGTTGTGCATAAGGAAAGAGGACCAGAGAAGCGTTAAGGAAAATGTTAAAAGTTTAATATTTTTACAATAAACGTATGAGCGAACGCTAATTGGCAGGGTTAATGGACAGGGTTTAGCATAAAAGATTATAACGACCTTTATTTTTTTTTTTAATTCCGAGCGTAGTTATAGAGCTATTGGTTTTACAATGCTGTTTATTTCTTCTTTTTTTTCTTTCCTTCTTCTAGTCTGTGGACGCGTTTTTCCTTAGTAAATTTGCTCTGATTTTTAGATGTAGCAACTTTTCTGAAAGCTCAAGTTGTCTAGATTATACGTTAGAACCTGATTATCCTGATATTCACTTAAGTGGGAAAAAACGTAGGAAAACGTACAATTTCACGATTTCATTATTTTATAAAAACACGGATGACGTTTTCTACCAGAAAAAATAATTTAATCGTAAAATCTCAAGATATCTTTTTATAATGTTTTTTTGATTTAATTTCTTACGGTATCATAGCTAAAACTTTTGAGCCGCTTTTGAGCTTTTAAGGAATTTTAATTTTTGTAAGTTTTTTGCTGTAATTTGGTTGTAAATACACGTAGAGATTTGAAACTTGGTAATAATGCTTATGTTGGACAAACCTAGACGTGGTAAAATTGTCAAAATCATCGAACGACTTTTTTTTTAACAAGCGTTTTGAAATCAAATTTAAACGAAAATAGCAAAAGAAAATTACTGCACTTCAAATTATGTATTACCGAACTGCGCTCGGAATCGTCTTTCGTCAAGCAATCGTTGCTTACAGATATAAATGAAATAACCTTATATATCCTACCTTCCCAACTTAAAATAAGCCTAAAATATTTTAAGCCGCTCAAATTTACAATCGTACAACGTCTTGCCGATTCATCTCTGTTTATGTGTTCATCTATTTCAGTTTAACCGTAATTTCAATATGAAATTATAGTTATACCGAAATGCCAATCGTATTGTTTTATATTATTATATTATACAATATAATATTATTGGTGTGATCATCATATCGTATACGAGTAAACAGTAAATGCACGCGCGCCGGAGTAAAAAAAAAAAACCTCCCGGCGTTTTGACGTAAGTATGTATATTCCGGCGTGCGTATAGCGGCGTAAAAAAAAGAATTCCGTTTTATGCCGCCGCCGTATCGGGAAAACGAATTTTCTGGTCAACTAAACGATTTCCATATTTCCGTTGGTATTCGAGCGAAAGTATCGCGTAAGCTTTGGCCCGCGGAGGAGCGGGCGGTGGTGGGGAGAGTGTAAAAAGAAACGCGCGCTCTCGCGGGTGACGGGCGCGGTGTATTATTATACCGTATGCGGGGATGAGACGGGCCGCGCGGCCCGATGACGGTGAAAGGAGGAGAGGTATGTATCGGGTGTGCCGGCGGCGACGGCGGGGACGGCTGCGGACCGAGAGGGAAAAAAACGTATTTATACGGATGGTTGAATGTCACGCGGGTCTGGAAATAGCCCCATATATTTCCTCCGCAATGCGCCGGGAGATTTTATTTTCGACCAGTCAAAAGCCCCGGACCGGCGACGGCGGGGTAGGCGGGTATGAGGCGCTGGGGTGTAGAGAGAAGGAGAGAGTGAGAGAGACCCCGCACCCGTTTCCATCTCGACTTTTTGATCCGAACTAAATTGGATGTCCACATGCACACGCTCCATCCCCTCCTCTTACTCCGTCATCGTCGTCGTCGTCGTCGTCGCAATAGCAGCAGCAGCCTTTGAGCTTTTTGCCTTTTTTTTTCCTCTGCTTTGCTCGTGCCTTTTTTTTTTCTCTTCTTATTATCCACGTCGGACAAACCCCTCTCGTCTACTTGCCTCCCTCCCATACACCCCCCTATCCGTCTCCTCTTTCGCGACCCCGAAGCAGCACGCGCGTGGAACACGCAGTCGACTTTTATACATTTCGGTCGTCCCCGAGTTTCATTTTCTCCGGTCCGGATTATACGGTTAAAGATAGCAGCCAGCTAGGTAGGTATATATATATTATACTGTGGCGGAAAAAAGCGTATAGAAAAATCCTCTTTAACGAAAAAAAAAAAAAAAAAATGATAATAATAAAAATAACGCGGAAAGAAAAAGGAATATATTTTTCAATTTTCTCTTTCCGGCTAACAGCAAAGTACTGCGCGTATATACTTACCCTGCTACCACCGCTTGGAAAATGTGCATGCTCAATATTATTAAATAGAAGCTCAGCGGATTCTGAAGAACAAAGTATTCGCTCTTTATACCTATAGATATATCTATGTGTATATAATATATATATATAAATAACTAGATAAAAGAGTAAAAACGCATATATTCTTATAACATTAAAACTCGGCTACTTAACTTTATGTGAGAGTATACGATTTTCCGCGAAATCTATTAGTATATAGAATCGATAAGTTAATAATTTAGCGTTTAATATTAATATTTAGAGTTATGGACGGACTGAATTAAAGACAAATGATCGTGTCCTTAATGAACTAGTTGAATCCAGAGAATTATTAAGATCAACCAAAGAAAGGAAATGGCGATTAATTGGGCACACTTCGAGACATGACGATAAGCTGTACCACAAAATAATTGAAGGAAAAATTGCAAGCAAGAGAGGCAGAGGAAAAACGTGTACGCTCATCAATGGAGTCATTTCTGATGCTGGACTAATGAGGTATATGGACCCGAAGAGACCTGTCAATAACAGAGAAGAATTATGCGATAAAACTGTACAATCAACATTATGGTTGATTACCAAAGAAAAAAATATTAATTAAATCGATTTTGTTCTGAATGATAGGTTTAGTACTTGTTAGGTGTAGATATATATTTTAATGACTGATTAATTATAACTTTTTTTTTTTTTTAGTACTAAATATTATAACCCAGAAGTTATTAGCTTTACAAAGATATATTTTTCTCTCAGAAAACGCTTTTATATACTGTTAGTAAAAATATTTAATCAAATACTTACTTATAGTTACTCAAATTCATTTATATTTTTAAATTTTCTGTTACTTGGTTAAGTTATTTTTTTTCCATGTAACTTAACTTAAACTAATTTAAAAAAATGTTTAACTTTTCCAACTTTGATGAAGATAGTAATTATATTATATATGATCGTGTAGACCAGGCTTAACAGTTTAGTCGGTTTACACAACTTATAGGAAACATTATAGAAGCTTGATAATTTCGACAGTCTTTATAATATGGAAAATCTCTGTTTTGTTTCGTAATAATAGATATTAAAGAAGAAAGATGATGATTTCATTGTTCGAGTTTTGTGAGACTCGTAAACTTATATTGCCTCTTAGATACAATTTTTTGAACGAAAATTGTTTTAAGTAACATTATTTCAATTGTACGTTCAATTATTTCAATACATCGATTAGTTATTTAATTTAAATTTATACACTAACGAAATATGTTTTTAAACGGAGTTCGGTTAAATATATTTTGAAATGTCGTGATTTTTATATAATTCCGACTAAAATCTGAACTTAAAAGATTTATAAAAAAAACTACTGTGTTAAATGTTTTTTTAATCATTAATTACAACTTGTGTAAAATTGTCAAGCAAATTATTATAATTTATAAGTAGCTAAAAAATCATCAGAATATTTTTAAAATTGTATCATGGTGCTAATATAAGTATTTTATTAAAACTTTAAACCACTATGATTATTTGTAACCTGATTATAAAAAAAAAAAAGTTTTCTCGTTTTTTCCGAAACTACAAGGAAATCAAAATTATTTTCACAATGCACCAACTTGATAACATTTAGTTACAAAACAGATTCTACACTTGAAAATAGAATTTTGATAGAAAAGTGTTTTCTAACATACAATTTTTTTTTAAAAATATTAAAGAAACACATTATAGTAAAATCAATATTATATTTCTCTCTGCACTCAAAAATAAACAGTTGCATTTGTATATAATGTTAAGCCCAAGAATTCTATTATTTTGTATATTATCTAGCTACATGTATTATGAACGTTAAACGCTCGGAAAAATATTGTGCGGTTGTTTGTTTTTAATATTTTTTGTCGTATTTTCGTTTAATATGCATTCGTGCTAAAATAAATATTCGCATGTACCACTATAAATATTGAATCGAGAGAACAGGAAGTATATTCCAATAGAATATAAAAATGATAAACGTCAATGAAAATAAAATAAATTACGGTAGGTATTCAAAATGTCCCTTTAGTTTTCTATTTTTTTTTTTTTGTGTTTAATGCATTAGGCACACGTATATACTGTGCGCAAAATAATTTATAAAACATTACTTTAATATACTTTAACAACTATTAAGTGTATCAGTACATACATACATAACTATAGAATATTATAGATAATAAATTTAAAATGTATTTTCGTTAATCATTTTTGTTACAACTATTTAAACAAAAAAAAAAAACAAGCAAAAACCCGACATGGTTGTTAGTACGGTTACGTTTTCGTTTGACAATACTTTCGAAAAAACATTAATCCCGTATCGCCCTCGTAAATATTCTTCCCTCTATACATTCAGTTATCTGTGTTTATATTTTAATATTTAAATCTTAACGCCACGACATACTTTATTTTTGATAACGTAATTTATTTCGCTATATGTCGCTTGTATGTTGGAAATATAGCAATTAATGCTTTTTATTAATTTTAATTTTTTTTCTAAATGTGCGAAATATTTTTATTTTAGTAATTCTTTACATATTTACATATTTTTCTATTTTTTGTTTTGTTTTTTTTTTTTTTTTGTTTGTTTCGCTTACTGAATAATAATACTATGAAAAAAAACAGTAATATTTTAACTGTTGTACAGCGATAATTATAGCCGCAGCTGTTTATTTCGAAGCAGACATTATAGGTACTCGTACATAATATAATATTAAGTTTTATAATGCACAATTCTTTTGTGGTTACATGCCAGTCTGGGGTTTTGCTTAATCTGTTTGATTAAATTTCACAGTTTATAAAATATATACAAGAGTCGACGCATAAAATATATTATAATAATAATAATGCACATTGTACCGGGTGTTTATAATACTATATACCTATATAGCGAGTGCTTTATCCTAATTTCGCGGTGTATATAGTATTATATAGGTAGGTACGCGTGAGTATGCAATAAGTCTATCTCACGAGTAATGTGATTTAAAAAAGGAGAACGAGTTTATAATAAAAAAAACGAAAAAAAAGTCTTCGAATAAAATTGCGTACGTATATATTGTAATAGAAGTAGGTTTTTTTTTTAATTCCGTTTATGGCGTTTACCTTGTGTAACATAATATTATTATAAGTTTAGTAATGATTTGAGTTTCGGTTCTCATTGAACACAATATATGGCAGTTTTTCGCGTTTTTATATGGTGGCCCTCCTTTTTCCAAAGGAGAAGTTTTGAAGTAATTCGCATAAAAGTATAAAAAAAAAAAAAAAAAACTAATTTTTAAGTTTTATTGTTGAAAACAAAAAAAGTCAATTACATGCTATTATAATTTAAAGCGAGCTGCCTACCAAGCGGTATGCCATAAGACACAAAATACTAATCAATATTCAAATACATAAGACAATTTTAAATTAAATAAACGCGAATAATTAGTTGACATTTACAACTTGAACTTCAATAATATATTAAGTTACATAACGATGAAACAGAAAAATAAAACTTATTACTACGAATACAAATGGTAATTTATCACGTATAAAGAGTCTTTCAAAGTAGATAGGCATATTTTAACAAAGTCATCGGCAGCGAGATTTTATGAATGATTTTAGGAATCCCGAGGCTGTACCCCGAGCTCCAAACCAAAGTCCAAATACTTCTCAATTTGTGATGCCATATTGTTTCTGAAGCCATGATGGTTGGGAGGCTGTCCGTGGTTTACAAGCTTAATAGTATTTATCCAGGTACTTTTTCGCCTATATAATTAATGTAATAATTAGTAAATTGTATGAAAATTGGCGTTTTTTCCTAGTGTAAGGTAAAACAAATTAAAGCGATGTTGAGTTTTTTAATATTAAATTAATCACGTGGTTTAGCTGCAATATGTTCTTAACCGTACTGCACACATTAAAATTTGAAACTCGATTACTATTATTAGACTGCAAAAATAGGTGCTCAATGCGCCAACGTTTATTTATATTTCGTTTTTTATTTCATACTCTTATTAGAATACCCGCACGTGTTGTACCTATTTATCATACTATTATTTTATTTATGTAGGTGACACAAACGAAATTTATCCGGTTCCACGTCTCTGAAAAAAGATAAAAATATATTCTAGTATCGCTAAACTGAATAATCGTTTAAAGCTTAAAAAAAAAAAAAATAAATAAATAAATAAAAATCGTTTTGTTTTTCGCGAAATTAGATTCAAAATATCACCCGGTTTCCCGGGGCCCGCGCACCCTGTATATAATCCGCGGTCTGCTCTCCTATCGGTACGTATAGGTGCACACGATTATACACCGCGCACGTCGTTGCGCGTACGACCAGAGCCGCGGTATCGCGCGCGCGTGTGCTTTTATAATAAACCGTTTTCTATCCGCGGTCGTCGTGCGAGGACCGTGTTTATCAAACACATTACCGAGGCGGTTCGCGGCGAAATTGGACCACCGCCTCCGCTCGCCGCCCGTGACGCCGGGACCCTTCTTACATTATGCGCGCGACTACCGCTACGTACACCTAACCAATACACGCGCACGAAACGACGTTCCTCTTTCGCGCGCACGTCCGCAAGAATGCCGCGCGCGTTTTGTTTGTTTTGGATCCGCACGTACACGGCAATAACAACACGGCGGTACACGCGTGTACCGCCGTGTGCGTTTACGAACGCGCGCGGGCGATTCGAGGGTAATGAAATTCCTCCGTCCCGGAAACGCTGTCCCGCGTGCGGTTTTTTTATTTATTTATTTTTTTTTTTTTTTTTTTTTTTTTATTCCGCGCGTTGCGTTCAGCGTTTCGGCGGGCAAAAATATTTATCGCGCGCGGCGGCGGCGCGGCGGTAGGTCCGCCAACTGTAGTAATAATAATAATGTATACGGTGTATTATGTATGTACGGGTAACGGGTACGCGAAAGGAACTGCGGCCCGGCGGAGCGCGTTGTTATCGCACAGTAACAATGACATTGTAGCGCGAAAGTCCGAGAGCGTGTTTTCGCGACCCTAAGATTTTTTTTTTTTTTTTATTTTGTTTTTTTTTTTTTTTACACAGAACGTACCGGGAATATTTATAACAATTAACGAAAGTAATGTCTTTCGGACTCGGAGCGCGGCGAGGGATCTGTTGGTTTCATTGTGATGTGTATTTTTTTATTTTTTTCCAAACGACTTTTTCACCAGAAATATCGCTCTTTTTTCGAAACGAAATTTCGTCTGGTCGGCGCGTTAAAAATGTAATTCTCTTGATTTTTCAAGGGGTTTTCGTAAAAAAAACGGCAAATATTTACGGAGCGCCGACGCGTAATTAATAACTTACAAAACTAATTTTAAAATAAAAATCAACTCGAGTGACTATTTTAGGGCAACAATAAACGGAGTTAAAAGTCATTTTTTTCAAAGTTACCTTGACCTATAAACTTACAAACATATTTTTTTCTACTCTTATATTTATACTTTTGTAGATTCACTCCATACAATAAGACTTGTATGAGTATCCTAATATAGGTCCGTTTTGTTATACCTACTGTGTGATTTCGTTGAAATAAAATAAAATGAAAAAAACATAGTTACATAGATTGTTTTACAAAACAATTTGTAAACAACAT